ATATGGCACTGGAGACTACCAATGAATTCTGCTATTTCATGAGGTCAATTTAGACACCGCATGAGTTTATTATGTGCCCGTCACCCTGCAGGTGAAATTTACCCTTGACTAAAGCAAGGACAGAGCTTCTAAACTCCAGTGAGTTATTCTCAAACCGTAATGTGCATCTGAATTACCTGGGGAGTTGGGTTTTTTTCAATGCAAATTACTAGACCCCACGGCCAGAATTCTTACACAGAAGTATTGTGGAGTGAGGGAATTCATAAATGATATTACTTCCCCTCCTGCACCCCCCGCCAATATTGAACCAATTTAGAGATAAAGGAGGGGCAGCCAGTTGTCACCTCATTTTACTGGTAATGGTGAAATTGGAGGACTCAACTTTCAAGTCCTTAAATATCTACAATGGCTGTTCCTAGCTCCAAAACCCTGAGTTGGAATTGCCCAGCTATCCCAAGAAGTACTAGGCAACCGCAGCCTCACTGAGAGGGGGTCTGCTCTGTAAAACTTAACAGCACAAAAAAACAGATTCGATGCAGGCTATCTGTTGGCCTGCTGGGTCCTGGAAGAAGGGACGGAGAAAGGGGCTAAGCCACAGCAACTTGGTTCCCTCTGAAACTCACGTTTGTCTTGCCCATGGAGGTGGAAGGAGTTATCTGACTGGTGACAGATAACCCTTTCCACCTCCATGGGGAAGAGTAAAGGTCTGCTCAAGAAGCCAGGAAATCCGTCCTAGAAACTAGAGAAGTAACGGAAAGCAGCCTCCCACAAATAACTGACTCCTAGGCCGAAGTGCAGGAGCCTGTGCTTTTAACAAGAACCTCAGGTGTATCTGAAACAGATGGTCCTCAGACCACACTTAGAGGCACACTTCCAGAATGGCCTAATTCTTGTTCTGGATGACCACCAAAGAAAACCTCATGGATACGCTTTAGCTCTGTTAGGGGCTTACAGTTTAGGATGGACAATGGCATTTAAAAACAGCTATCATATGTACAGTGCTTAGAGTTCCAGCTTCTGTTCTAAGTACTTAACATATATGAAGTCATTTCAGCATGCGAAATCACAGCAGCCGTAAGAGTTAGTTAGCCAGGCAGAGATAGGTTAAGTAATTTTTTGACTAGCGGCTATGCAGCTAGTAAGTGGCAGGGCTAGGAACTGGAACCAGGCAGCCTGAGTTCAGCCTGCATTCTTTTTTTTTTTTTGAGATGGAGTTTCGCTCTTGTTACCCAGGCTGGAGTGCAATGACGCGATCTCGGCTCACCGCAACGTCCGCCTCCTGGGTTCGGGCAATTCTCCTGCCTCGGTCTCCTGAGTAGCTGGGGTTACAGGCACGTGCCACCATGCCCAGCTAATTTTTTGTATTTTTAGTAGAGACGGGGTTTCACCATGTTGACCAGGATGGTCTCGATCTCCTGACCTCGTGATCCACCCGTCTTGGCCTCCCGAAGTGCTGGGATTACAGGCTTGAGCCACCGCTCCTGGCCCAGCCTGTGTTCTTTATCTCCAACTATATTGCTGTTCATGATTCCCTCTTCACACAGAGAGAGCTCTGAAGCGGGGAAAGCACAGCCTGAAACCCCAAAGCACCACTGAGAGGCTGAGCAAAATGGCTTGCCCTTTTTACTGTTTTCATCATTGATATGACAGCTAATGAATTTCTTTTAAAAAGCAAAATGAAGTCTCAGTAGCTGTTGATTATTGTTTTTTCCTCACCATTGGATATGAAAGTTCAAATTATCATGTTGCTAATTAAGGATTTTTTTAAGAGGATTGGTGTATGTGAAAGGATTATGTGATACTATCCAAAACAGTGCAGCCCAGGTGCAAATTGAGAGAAGAGGAATTTGGATATTATTCTTTGGGATAATGTGACTTCAGGTTAACCATGAAAATCATTCCTTCTCTAGAGATTAAGTTTAAGCCTCAGGTGGAGCAACCAAAGTGGGTGCTGGCACCCCAGGGAAGGCGGGTACCTGTGTTCCTAGAGCTTGGAGGAAGGTCTGTCGCTGTCGGTGAATGCAGAGGGGGTGAAATGATTTCTGGAGACACTAACACACACCCAATGAGGAAAGATTTACCCACCAAATGTCATTTATTTAGCAGGCATTTATGAAGCACCTACTGTGTGTTCAATACTATACCTTGTAGTATCTTGCCCTTGGAATAATGCAGGACGTGGATATTTACAAATGTGATGTGTGTATGCCCGAGTATTACCAACTTCATCCTTTATAAGGTATAAGTCAGCTGATGGCAAAAATACCAGTAGGGGGTAGGCATGGTGGCTTATGCCTGTAATCCCAGCACTTTGGGAGGCTGAAGTGGGTGGATCACCTGAGGTTAGGAGTTCAAGACCAGCCTGGCCAACATGACGAAACCATATGTCTGATAAAAATACAAAACTTAGCTGGGCGTGGTGGCATGCCCCTGTAATCCCAGCTACTCAGGAGGCTGAGGCAGGAAGATCACTTGAACTTGAGAGGCAGAGGTTGTGGTGAGCCGAGATGGCACTGCTTTTACTCCAGACTCGGTGACAGAGTGAGACTCCATCTCAAAAAAAAAAAAAAAAAAGATAAAGAAAAATACCAGTAGGAAGTATACTAAATAGTGATGTCTTCTATCTAATATGGGAGTGAAGATAAAGTAATAGTTTAGACCTGGGGTTATTCATTAAAGGCCTCATGCTGGATATGGGCCTTGGAAGGATTGCGGGTGGGGATTGACAGCGGGGCAAAGGCAGTGCCTGCCAATGGAGAGCTCTGTGATCAAGGTAGAAATGAGATCACGGTCAACAAAATCTGCATTTTTGTTTCACAGGAATAAAGTGTAGCTCATAGAGTATTTGTCTGAAGAAGTAAACTGAGGCGAAATAAAATGTATGGGATGCCACAATATGAAATTTGGGCTTTCAGAGTCTGAAGATGACCTTACCTCAAATTTAGATGGGCACCCTAAATTCAGGTCATTCTTGGATGGGCGCAGTGGCTCATACCTGTAATCCCAGCAATTTGGGAGGCCAAGGTGGGCAGATCACAAAGTCAAGAGATCGAGACCACCGTGGCTAACATGGTGAAACCCTGTCTCTACTAAAAATACGAAAATTAGCTAGCTGTAGTGGCGTATACTTGTAGTCCCAGATACTGGGGAGGCTGAGGCAGGAGAATCGCATAAACCTGGGAGACAGAGGTTGTAGTGAGCCGAGATCACACCACTGCATTCCAGCATGGCAAGAGAGTGAGAGTCCACCCCCCCCCCCCCGCCAAAAAAAAGAATATCATTCCCCTTTGTCAGTTCTGAGTCTGTGTCATCCTTTATCATTCCAAAAACAAAACAAAAATCCCTTGTGATGCCCACCTGGGGTCTTAGTAATTGTGTGTCACCCCTCTCCCCCAACAATGACACTTCCCCTTTGCGTCCCATCCTCATTGTGAGGTTATTAAATGAGGTCTCTAACTGGGTCATACCGTCAGGACAGGACACACAACTTTCCCAGCTAAGGGCACCCTGCCTTTCGGATCTAGTTGTTCTGCACAAATGTCCTAAGCTTGTTGCACGCGGCTTTGATTGACTCTTACACTTCGTGAATTGGCAATATGCTTTTCTGAGGAATTCTACTTTAGATGTGATCATATACAAAGACAAAGTGGGTGGTAGTATTTTTCCCATGCCTCTAATTTATGTATTTGTGCCGGAGTGATGATTTAGATGGGAGCTTAATAAAATTGATCAAATAAATTACACCAGATCCACACACCATCATTTCAGGGAGCTGTCATCACGCCAAGGAGGTTCTATATCACCCAGCATGGCGTTCTGGGAGAACCGCTGTGTTTTCTTAAGTGCTGCTGGGCTTTCATTTGATTAGAAAGGTCTTTTATTTCTCAGATTGGCTAACAATAAAAGAGTGTCAATGCAAAAGGTATCGGTTAGCTGTGGAAAAGAGGACTTGTTAGTTGCATGACTTTTGCTAGTGATTTAAACTTTCTAAACCTCAATTTCCCTTTCTACAAAATGTGGTTTTATAATTCCTACCTCAAATGTTTGTTGGAAGGATAAAAAATAACACATGGAGACAGTGGAAGGGATCTTCATTTCAAGCAAATGTAGATGTCTGTCCTAGGTCCATATTCAGCTGTGCAAATCACTGGTCCTTTATGAGCCTGTTCCCTCGCCTGTGAAGTGGTATTGGTAATCACTGCAAAAGAAGACCTTCTCCAGGTGGCGTGATGGAGCTGTGTAAAGGTGGATCTGATATGAAGGCCCAGAGACAGGTACGCCTAAGAGACTGACTACAAGGCTAACTTGCCTAAGTTGCTAAGATGCAGCAGAGACTGAGGCCAACATCAAAGCCAGCTCTGGGGACAGAGGAGCAATTGTTGTCTAGACAGCACTCTTGTATTGAGATGAAATTGACATGATGCTTGTTGACGCAAGATAAATATATTTTAGAAGAAGCAGCGAACGTGAGAACAAATACCCTGTAAGGTGGACAAAGGGTGGCTCTTCTCTGTGGGCTTTCGTCTCAGTAAACAAGGGTAATCCCTCCTCCCTGATTTAAGAAAACAATCTCAGTCCATGCCCAGGAAAGCCAGTAAATTAATGTACAGGTGGAAATACCAGAATGGGAATGCTTGAGATATAGTATGCCTGTCAATAAATATGTGTTCCATGAGTTAGGAAGGAAATGCGGGCGTGCACGAATGAAGGAATGAATGGTTTTGGATTCCAGCTTTATCAGATTCACTGCGCGACCTGGGGCAAGTCAGTTAACTGTTTCTTCTCTATAAAATGGAAATAATAAAAACTGCTGCCCAGTGGTGAGAATGAAGTATGTTAATGCAAGTTAAGCTTTCAGGTCAGAGCCTGACACTTAATAAAACCTCTCAGTGAGTGAATACTGTTGTGATGATTTGCCATTACGTTCTGTGTTCAGCAGTCCCTGATCCCGACGGCTCAGCGTCTCCTTTTAAGATGTTTGTGTTCTCTGTACTTTACAGGTCAGCAGGTCCTGGGCTTGGTGGAGAACCAGAGTGACTGGTACCTTGGAAACCTGTGGAAAAACCACCGCCCTTGGCCAGCCCTTGGAAGGGGCTACAACACTGGTAAGTCCTCAGGGTTGTGTGAGCAGAGTTGCAAAAGGTGATGTGAGGGGTCACTGCTCCTTCCTCGGGAGAGGAGATTGCAAAAGCTTAGGGGGAGGCCACCTGATTGCTTGAATTCGGCAGTAGCTGGTACGTGGGCAGTTGGCATTCTAGTTCCTTCTTGGTGCTGTAGCCACAGGCAGAGTCGCACTTGGGCCGTGGCAGTCCTTGGCGTCTCACCGGAAGGCCCCTCTCCTGACCTCTAATCCAGATCCCGTCTTCATCAGTATGACCTGTAGGTTCCCGGATCTGTTAATACGGACCAGAGATCATTCTTGAGTAACAACCCCAACGTTTTCGTTTCTTAACACAACAGATACGTATTTTGCCAGTCACGTTCCATGTCCACTTTAGGTCTTCAGGGATCTGTGTTCACTGTAGGTACTCAAGATTCATCTCCAGGCACACTTCTACGTATGTGGTGAGGAAGTAGCAGAAGTCGTATTATCTCTTAAAGTTTTTGTTAGAAGTGACACAATTTCATGTTTTATTAGCTTCCCTTCAAAGTGTGTGGGAGAGTGCAGTCTACCATGTGCCTGGCAGGAGAAAATGCAGAAATATTTGGTAATCAGTTTTGAGGACCACAGACCTCTAACCATGTGTCTAAAATAAAATCCATCGTTCTGCCTTGTTGCTAGCCCCAAACTTGCTAGTAACGCTTTAGTTTCTTTCTCTGTTACTGGTATCCTTCGTTCAGCCATCAACCCTTCTTGTTTGCCAGCTCTCTCTTGAGTGCTTACTGTGTACCCTGTACTGGCTGTAGCAGACACAGTCACTCACATCATGGAGTGTAGACGCAATGAAACTAGAGTAGCCTCTTTCTTCTGAGGCTTCTGAGGCAGAAGGATCCAGTATCTATCTTTGAAATGCTTCTGGATCCTTCTGCCTCTCTCCTCCATCGTCATTGCCACTGCTGTGGTATCCCATTCTCAAAGGATGCAGACTCCTGACCTTTATCAGGACTGGAATGTGGAACTCGGGAGCGGCAGGGTGGGTGAGACCAAGAAGAGCTGGAACTTGGCATCTGAGACCAGCAAATGAGATGGGTTGGGGCAGGTGTCTGGGTCTGGGAACAGGATCACCTAAAAGTGACAGGTGAAGCCTGCCCTGGACGCTGAGGCCAGTCTGTAGTGGGATGAGCCAAAAAGAGACCAAAGGTCTGAGGGCTGATGGTCAGACTCCAGAAAAGTCAAATGCAAATACAGGGTCCCAGAGAACAAAGGAGAAAAGGGACATAAGTCAAGCTTCCAGAGGCGAGAGTTCACAGATGGGGTCAGAGTGAGGGCCGTCAAAGCTGGAGGACACAGAAAGAAAGTGCAGCATCAGTGTCCAGAGGTGGCAGGCAGCCAGGGCGCCCTGTTATCAAAGGCCTTCCTAGGAGACGGGGACATTCCTTAGCTAGTATATGCCTGAATATTAGATATGCCTTGTTCTGTGTAATTTTTTTTCCTGTGATGCCTACCAGGCATACAGAGGTTGCAGTTGAAGAATGTCAACCACCAGTTTTTCACAGACCCCAACGCCCCACCCTGGAGCCTCCCACCTGTGTTGGGCATTAATCCTTTAGTTGCTGGATGATGGGGAAGTCTGGGGAGTTCCTGAGAGGGTCCAGGTTGGGGAAAGGCAGCTGCGGGCATCAGAGCAGTGGTTCTATTAGCAGGTCAGGAAGTATTTCTCTCTTTCAATAATAGGTAAGGCAGCACCTCTACATATCAGCTGAGTATTAGCCAAGCACCATGTTAGGTGCTTTATGGGCGTCAGTCTCCTTCGATCCTCGCACTAACCCCATGAGGCAGGTGACATGCTTGCTTCTATTCTATACCAAAGGAAACTGAAGGTTGGAGCATTGAAGACTGCAACCCGGAAACGTCAAGGAGCCTGCAGTGTTAACTACCAGTCGTCCTTCCGTGAACTTTAATGGCCTCAGGATTAAACACTTTTCCGTAGTGGAGAATCCTGAGCTTTGCCCTTCAAGAGTCTGCTTGACTAGCTCTGTGAAAAGATGGGATTCCAGGAAGCTTCTAGTATGTTTCTGGGGCAGAATGTCCAAACGCCTTCTCTGATTCAACATGGCACTCTGTTTCCCGTCCCAGCAAGCTCTTCCAGGCACTGTTTGCTCAGTGCATTTGATACCGGACCCTCCATGAACCCACAGCGGGCCGGGGATGAGGGCTCCACATGCTTTCCTCTGGCAAGTGAATAGTCATCCCGTGGTGATCTTTTGTGCCTGGACTTTCAGACACATTCCCTACAAGCCTTCATAGAGGTGGAGACACCCATGTTTCTGGGTGGGAGAAAGGAAGTCTCAGGGAAACCCTAGTGTATACATTTAGTTTCTGTCTTCCAAAATTTATAATAGAAAATGTCACATAGAGATATACTGCAGCGCCTCAAGGATGCTGCGTCAAGATCACAGTTACCCACGTAAAACAAAAAAACCACTGGTCATCAATCTGGGTCTGTGGGGAAAAGAAGAATGTAGCACACTGGGGAATTTATTGTGACCAAAATGGCATGTCTCCGCCTGCCCATCCCTATTTGCTATAGAATGTAGCATCAGGAGACACAGGAGCACGTAAACCACCTCCAGTTCCCCCTGTATATGCCGATGCAGCAAGTTACTTCCTCCTCGCTGGTAGTGAAAGGGCAGAGCGGGAGGGGGAAGCCCTGCTGAAGTGATGTGTCTATTTAAATAAGTCAGTGACACTGAGTGATTATTAAAGGATTTATGCAACATCAAAATGCATTAGCTTTCACGATGGGGGGATTTCTTGCTTCAAACCCAAGGATTGCACCACACAGTGAATGAGTGATCCAGACCTGTAGATTCTCATGGAAACTGAGGACGCCACTGGAGAGAACTTGCCACCCGAAATCCCAGCACATCTGAAGCCTCCAAAAAGGATATCTCCAGCAGAGCTCCCTGTCCTAAGCCTTCAGCCTGATGTTAGGAACCCAGGCACATCTGGGTCAGATGCAGTACAGCCATCTAGTGTCCATATGCTCTTGGCCAAGTCGCTTCACTCCTTGAAACTTTCAGTTCTCTCCCTTTTTACGATAGGACAGTAACAAACCCAGTATGTGAGGCTTAGCAATTAATGTTGTAACTTGTTTAATGAGCCTACCCTGATTGAGGGCATCAAATAAGAACTTAGTAAATCTTAGCCTGTCTCCTCTTGCATTTTTCTGCCACTTGCTCTATCAGGGAATGAGATTTACCCCATTGAAAAAGGAGGTCATGTGATTGAACAGGGTTTGCTAAGGTCTCCCAAGCCTTCCGGTCAGTAAGAATGAGTAAGTATTTTACTTTCCCCAGGTGTAATCCAACTACCTAGGAGTTTTTTCTTATAACTACTATCTGAAAAAATTAGCTTTTTGTATTACATTAAGAACAAAATGACTGTTGAGTTCAAATATCAGCTTCCTCGCTGTGTTTGACTTTGCAAATCCCCAGAAAAAGCATATGAGATGTTTAAGTTGGAAGCTCCACCTTCAAGACCTGGCTTTGTCATTCTTAAATTCTGTGCCTTTTGGAAAGCTTACCCAAGCTCAGGAAGCCTTGGGCTTCTCACCTATGAACTGGGGACCTCAGAACATACTGGGAGGTTCCATTGTGGCAGCGCAGCCATGTGTGTCTGGTAAACCGAAGTACTTTAGGAAGTTGGTTGTGATTTTTTATTTATCCTTCTGGCCATAGCCCAACTGAAAAACTTTTCAGGTAATTCAGATTCATCTGCAGACATCAAATGCGGCCGCATTCACTTACACATTAATTCATTCACCCACTCCACAGTGTCACACCAGGCACCATAGCATGGGTGGTCTTTGTTAATTCCTTGAATTCTCTTATTATAAACTAGACTTTTCCCCTTACAAGAGGCAGTCTGGTTTTCCTGTCCTCTTTGTTTGCTTTTCCTTCCCAGTCTGCTTTTACAAAGCCTACATAGCCACAGAAGATTAGAGAAGATCTTTCCCCCATCTCCCACTTATCTGCTTCCCTTCTTACTACAGCTATTCCCAACTTCATTCCAGAAGGTACTGAGCCACAGCAGTTTTGGATAACCAGGCAGATCCTAGCACAAAGCTCTTGCCCATAACTGTTCAAGTGGAATTACAGGCATCTTGCACAGAGATGGGTCATTTTCCAGCCACTCTGCCCAGGCATCATCTCCTAGATGCAAGAAGCTGTCAGTCACCCAGCATTCCACTGTTACCAGGACTTTAGAAAACAGCAACAACAAAAATACACCTAGGATTTTGACAGCCTCATTAAGATTCAACTCTGTTCAGTTCCTCAGCTGATGGATGAATATCTTAAAGACAAACAACAGCAAAGAAAAGGGGAAGGAAGGCTGAACATAGCAGGGGATTCGAGAAGGCAGGTCGGGAGAAAGAAGATGGCATGTTTGCACACAGGTTTATATGCATGAGATCCCGGAGGTGACTCATGCACAAGGTACGTCCTCCCCAAGTCGAAGGGCGTGACACTAGCCAGAGAATGTGCTTTTAAAAACGATTTAAAAATAAAATGTATCATGTTCCATTCAGTCCCTAAATTAGGGCAGAGACAGGCAGATGGAGACCTGGCTCTTGAGGGAGGGAGGAAGAATTTCTCTAGGAACCCTTCTCTGCAGGACAGCAAAAGTGAAACGCCCAAGGACTGGCTCACCTCTGAGGTTGGAGCACACTCAGTGATAAGAAAAGGGACAGTGATGGGCGGTAAAGTCAGATACCATAGAAAATTCTGTGACGGGGATTCAAAAGGAGAAAACATTTGACAGTTTGCCAAAGAACTGTTAAACAGATAGCTTTAGCAGGATAAATAGAAATACGCAACCAAGGCTGAACTTGCCTTTGCCTCTGACATCCAGCTTTTGGGACCCCGGGTAAGTTCCTTCATTTCTCTGCACCTTAGTTGTTTCTGCTGTCAGGAACTAAGCTGTCTTCATATTCTCAAAGAA